ACACTTACATCAATCACCCTGTATACATAGTAATTTTTATAGTACTACTTAAAAATGATAGTACCGTACCTTGATCACGATTCTTGTAGTGTGATCAAACGGCGCTTCACATTGGATGGTTGGGGAACGTCAGCCAAAGTTTCATTTTATGTCCAGCTATCTACGTGTCCTCTCCTATGTTGGACGAGGGTGACACATTCCAATGCAATTTTAGGGTTAAATATACTTTTTGGCGACGTTTGATGTGTTCCAAACCCTTAGATAAAAATCTGTCTCGGTTTTCTACGTGTTAAGGCACTGCGGGTTTTAAATTGTAATAAAATGTATACTTTACACACACCATGAAATGATTTTTAGTGTTCAAGTAACTGCGACCAGCACCATTGCATAGAGGGATATCTCTTTTTTTTACAATCGAAGTTTTAAATTATTCCTAGTATTGTAAAAATGTTATTTTTGGAAAAATGACTAATATCAGAACGGAACTGGAATGGGTCATAAAGATAACAGATCACATAACCGGCCTAAATCCTATACTAATAATTTTAACATATGGTCGGGACAGTTCCATTTAAGTAATGTTAAATAATATTGACTTTCAGGCCAGTGACATAATTTGTTTATGTTTATAATCCAAAACAGTTCCGTTCTAGTATTCGTAAAAAAATATTACAATAATCAAACATGTGTAGATGATATCACCAATTGATTTCAAGATGGAATCTTATCATCAGCTGTTTAGAATGTTTAGTTGGTGTTGTTTGGATTCGACATGCGAAAGTAAGGTATCCAAGGCCACCATTGCTGAAATTCCTCGCCGAAGATGTACAAATGACCTTGAGCTAACGAGATAGACCGGTCTCGATGGTAGTGAGTGACCTTGACCCGTCAATGGGCTACCAAATCCTGATGTTCGAGGATATGCTCTGTTGTCGGAAACTTTATTATTTAATATAACCTGTTGTGGCACGTCTAGCCACTAGACAGTTATTTTGATTTACAGTGACAACTAGATATGCTATGTTTGAGCGAATTTCCCATGAATAAGAAATTACCGTAGGTCTGATGACTCGACACCGATTTACATTCGTTTTCTGGTCCCTAGAGGCCAAAAACACCATCCTTTCAAATCCATATAGGTACCATATATCCGTAAACACGCTAACTCGAGCAAAGACTATTCGTTTTTGATTAAATTTGCTATACACGTGTAAACCTAGATTTTTTCGAACGAATTCGCAAACCAGCATGATCGGACCATAGGAACGGGGATTTATGGGGAAAAATTATTTTCTAATTTATTTATAAACAATTCTGTAAATAAAAAAAAATTCAATTAAAAATTCTCATTTTATTTTTTTGAGAACAAGTAAACTGTTGTAGATTGCTTGCTTGATAATATGATGTAAAAATTTGGCAAAAAACTAACTTACCTTGTTTTTTAAATAGGGAATAAGCATGACAATTTTAATGTGATATTTTAGTGAAAATCCAACCAGGCAAACGAAGTTCACTTACTTTGCAGGTTTGCTGCGACGAGGGTATTTCCTTGTGTTATTTTTTATCGCAATGTCTAGAATGTGTGATTAAGGGCCGGTTGCTGAGCTCCGGATCTATAAGTTCTGAACTTATTGAGTCCAGGACTCAAATAAGCTCTCGGATCTAAATCGTCTTGCTGAGTGTTGGATCTATCTCTGAAACTCCAGGATCTATAAGTCCTGGACCTATTTGAGTCCAGAACTTAAAGCAATAAAAATTGAGGGAATCGTAGAGTATTTGGCGTTGTGATGTTGGCAGTGGGTGATAGCCGGCCGTGCCGTGCCGTCTGCTCCCCACCTCGTAAACTAGAGATTAGTAAAATTTTTATGTTAACTGTTATTATAATCATTACTATCCTACATTATCATTCTTGTTTGGTTTAGGTGTATTTAAAAATACATGTATGATAAGGTCATGTTGAAAACTTCTGAGTTAAAAGTAAAAACAACTTGTTTGTTGTTTTTGAATTGCTTTTATATCTAACATTTTTAAATGGTTCTTTATTTTTACATGCAGTATAGGCTAAAATTTATTTCAAAATCATTCATTTGTAATTTTGGTTGTGAATAAAGTAAGTTGAAATACATTAAAAAAAAAATAAAATAAAAAAAATAGTGTTGTACAAACTGCGTTAATAATTACTTAAACAAAGAGAACGAAAAATGACATTTTATGTTGTTATCTTCATATCCATTTTAGGAGCGCTGTGTCATCTTTATGCATGATTTTATACTTCATAAGTTTTTTTATATTTTATAGGTTTTTATAAGATGATTGTTTTCAATTAAAGTAATACCAATTTATAATTAACGACAGTCCTCTCTTCTGAAAAATGCGTACCAAAGGTCAATGACGTAAAATATCAAGATGATGTTTGATTTATTCGAACAATCTTACATACCGGGTGTCCCATATAATAACTTCCCATCAATAAGGTTTGAACGCTGCATATCCAAACGAGCATCGATACACGTTACTAGGGTAATATAAAGTACTTTTTGGTTGTATTTTGAATTTCACCCCCACCGCCCAAGTAGGGGTTGCTGGGGATAAATTAAAAATTTTAAACGACAATCCTTATCAAGTAACACATAATTTTAAGGAGTTTTAATAAAGGAAATTAATTAATGCCACAAATTTGAATTTAACACGACGAATAAAAAAAAGTTATGGTAAGAAATGTTAGACGTTAATTTAACTTGAACTTTACATTCCTTCACGTTTATTTTTTCATGACTATATTTTTAAATAACCTTCAGTTCACGTGAGGGTGGTGTCACGTTCATCACCCTACCCCAAATACGGGTTGCCGGTGGTATTTTGATTTTTAATACCAGCCCCTATTTGGTATTTCAAATTCAAATATATATTTAAAGTCAAGTTAAAAGGTACATTACATTACCCTGGTCACGTGTACTGAAGAGTATTTGAAAATTTAAAGTCATGAAAAAAGAAGTCATGAAATAAAAGTGATGGAATTAATTAACATCTAACACATTTCTTGCCACAACTTTAAAAAAATTTGTCGTATCAAAGTCGAATTTGCAGCATTAATTTCCTTTTTTAAAGTTCTTTTCTTTTCATAAAGTTAAAATGGTGTGCTACTTGATACGGGTTGCCTTTAAGGAAACTTAAGTTACCCCTAGCTACCCCTATTTGGGGGTGGGGGGTGAATTTCAAAATACCACCAAAAGATAATTTTCATTGCCCTAGTAGTGTATCGAAGCTCGTTTGAATATATGCAGCCGTTCAAAAATTAACCATTATTATTAGGGGAGTATTATAGGAACCCGGTATATACATTTTACATAATAGTTACGAAGCGCCATCGACATTGTTTAACACCCCAGGAAAAATTCCTGCTTTCGTCCATTCCCCTTCAGGAAATTTAAATTATGCCCTTCATATCTTGCATATTACCTTTGGTGCCTTATGGATAACTCTACAAGCAGTAGACTCTGACACAATGGAGAAGATCTCCAGTTTCCCTGTAAAAAGTCATGTCAGGAAAAAAAAATACGGAATGCTGTGTGGAGCTCTTTTATTATAAACCCTTATTCCTGGAGATAGTAAACGTAATATATTTTGAAAGATGAAATCATCCTGAAACTCTTCTTCAGATAACACGAGCAATGGGTTAAGTGCACGACCGAGATGTCTTGTCTTGGTCTACGTTGTAGTGCTTTAAAAATGGCAAAAATCCAAATTATTTTATGATAACGATGCGCACAAACTGACTTCAAAACCAAAACTGAGGCGTTTATACTCGGTTAAGTCTAGGATCTAGTTTTAAATCCTGCCCCTGGCGAGGATCTAAAATCGTAGTGTTTTAAGTTCTGGACCTAACGGATTTTGCTAGATCCTGGTCCCAGCAAGAGACGAGAATCTAAATTAAGTTCTGGACTTATAGGTCTTTGACTCAGCAAGTCAATTTTTAAACTCCAGAGTCTAACCAGCCAAATAAACTCCGGAGTCTAATAAGTTCTGGACTTCGCTAACGCCCTATCTCAGCAAGCCATTTCTTAGACTCCAGAGTCTAAAGCCGGTTTAAGTCTAGAACTTAGCTAAATCCCGAGCTCAGCAACCGGCCCTAAGACTAAAGACTCTTAGTAACTTAAACGACCCCACAGCCACCTCTGTATTAGAGGTGGCTGTGACGACACGTTTGCCTTTCCCAAGTCTTTATTTAAAATTATATTTATTTAGCTTTGTCTTTTTGCAAAAACATGTCTTTATGGTATTATAGTATCCGGATTACTAATCAATATTAACAATGTGGTATATGCCTGTAGTAATCCAATGATCGCATTTAGTACTAATTAGGTTACCTTTAGTGACGCATCATCTGTATGTACTGTACTTAAGTTCACGTATGTCTTCTTGTGCTTAAAATCGTTACCATTAGGTTTTACACCATTTTTAAACTAAACAATACTGTCTATGAATTTCAATCACGCTTATTTGTAAGGATATTTGAAGTAATTGTGGGTGTCGATATAGTCAGCAGTGTTGTGTACAGTTATTTATTTATAGTTTACATCCGAGTTCATTCATGTTGTGTTTATAGAGTTTAACATTGTGTGATGTTGCTGTTGAGTGTACACGTGATGAACAGAAGCGATCATTCTTGTTCTTAGCGGTTCACTCTTTAAGATTTTGGCATAAAAAGTGGCGAATGAAGAGACTCGGTAAATAGAAGCTCTGCAATTCCCAAGTTTCACGTAGAATGCAGCAATTATAACCATTATTCACAATATAAAAGTCATTCAACAAATCATGATGTGATTAAACAAACTACGAGCTAAAGTATCGATAGTATCACAGTATTTGCACAAGGCAGTTTAGTCTACAGTTGATTCCTCATCATCTTGTGGCTAGCGCAGGTTTTTTAGTGTGTATGGCTTAGCCTCAACTAAATACAAGGCCGCGGAGTTGATGTGGCAACGTCGCACCGGCCTGTTGCCATGGTAATGACAGTAATAACAAACGCAGACGCTCCATTATCAGCTGCTGTTGCGGTTCGCCGGGACTGCAGTGTTGCCACTTGTCTCGCCGCGGTCTTGTATTAGAGGTGGCGTTGCTTGCACTGTATGACGAGTATCGATTATAGTACAGGCTCATCGACGGGATCAGAATGGATTATCTTCCAGCAACTGAGGGTGTCGCAACATTCTGGGAAGGCCGTCTGGGGCGTCCCTTGGACCACTTCACAGCCAGACTGTTCTCTGATGATCGGACACCTGGGGAAATACAGAGTTTGAGGTAGGACACATAAGGGAGAACAGAAAAGAAGAAAGAAATTGAGAAGTTTTTGAATGTTTACCTTTTGTATTCAACCCATATTGAAAATGAGGTAACCTGATTTTTATGGTTGGCATTAATTTCGGTACTAAATTAGTGTTTATGCTGTACGTGGGCATAATATTAGCCTATCTACGGAAGTCAGTAAATTTAAATTTAACAAACTAAAAAGTACATTTATTTGTTCACATGCAAGTGAAAATACGAAACGTGTCGGAAAAATCTGTCGATTTGACAATACGCCAACCATGCGAAAATTTACTTTTGAATTAATATTAAATACAATAGAATGCCCATTTAAAAGAGTAAAGACTTCATTTTATTCACACCTTTTTTAATATTCATTGATAAAAAACGTTAAACGAATACTTATGCAAAATCTTATCCCTTCATGCCCAGGGTAGTGATAACGTTAATTAATTAAGCATTACAACCAATTTGTTCTAGTAAAACTGATATTGATTTAGAATATAACTACTGTATTATTGAATATTGATGAGAGAATACTTAATCAACTAATTCCTAACATCACAGCATTAATTAACAGCAGTTTTAATTACTGTTCAACTTACGATTCCACTTGTATTCTTCCTCCCTTCATGCATGTTTTTCTCTCACATCTCACCTTGTCGTACCACACTCGTCCTAGTGTATAGCGTTGTGACCCTTCAACGCAGAACTCTGTAAAAATGGTTATTAATTATGCCTTTTTTCAACCACTGCATGGAAATGATTACATTGCCATAGCTGTAAACAGTACGCAAAATATGTCATTGAAGCTCTAGTGCGGGAATGGATAATTCCCGCTCGCTAAATCAGCTGATTTAACAGTTAGCGTTTCTACTTTCTACACCAACGGCAGCCACGGCTCAGGTACGTTAACAACCGATAAGCCAATAACATAAAAAAAGAAAAGAAAATACATAACCTAAATGGCATTTCTATATACAACTTAAAAGTTAATCTGTGTGTTATGATAAGTTGATTATAGTGATAGGAAAATTCGTGGGTGTGTAACGAGCACAAACAGTCATTGCCGCTCTCAAAAAGTATGGCCGTTTTGGCTCGACAGTTGTTCTCGAGCGGCAATTACGTACTTTGTGCACTAATACAAAAATAGGCATTTAAATCAGTTTTTTTTTATTTTTTTTTTAGCACAATCCTTATTTTGGTTATAATGTTGGGGAAGTACAGTGATTTGCCCACAAAAAAGTAACTAAAAAAGGGAACAATAATTACATTTTATTATTTTGAAGTTTCGTTTTTGGTATTGGTGATTTTATAGTGTTTGAGGAATTGTGGGCATTTTCCATAACCATCAAAAGACAAAGTAAATAGTAACAACGTAAATTAATTATGTTTGTTTTTTTTTGTTCGTGATGAAAAATGTCCCTAATAATACCACAAACTAGGCTATTAAAGCTAAGCAATATTTTTACATATTCACAGAAATAAAACAAAAAAAAAACTAGTGATTTTATCGTAACACGCTAACACCTAAGTCTTATGAAATACATTCAGATCACACAATAATCTGCGATGTTTTCGCTAATAATGGTTTTCGCGTCTTAAGGTAAAGATTTCCCTTGTAGGAAGATGCTATTATCACATTTGATTCTCTAAGGACTTCAAAAATGTATTTCTTCTTTAGAAATGAAGAAAAAAACACTTATGCATGTAGGGTATTTTAATTGTACTTAATTTACTTGATATCTAACTCAGATTGCAGCAGTCTAATTGCTTTTGAAGAAATAAACCCCGTTTTGTATATATTTTCTTTGTAAAATGGTGTTCTAGGGAACTACGCTTAAAAAAAGAGTTGAACGAAAAGTGGAATAGCTGCGTCTTGGGAATATTAGAGGAAATAAAGCTCTCTTTTGTTTTACAAGCCCCAGGCTTTCTTGTCATTTCTTAAAAATAAACACTCCTTATCGTTACAGCTTAATTTTCATAGAACTCTTAAGAAAGTGTTTGAATAAGGTACGTGCATGTTATACTTACATGTCTTTGAATGGATGTAAGTTTGTATAATATTGTCAATTTCACTAAAACCCTTTTCTTTTGTGGTGTTCTGAATAGTTTTTTTTAATCTATAACCATCTTAGCACGCTAGTTCTACCTCGGAACTGGCTTACACTTTGCTTCAGCTAGTCCTAGGGGGCCACGGCATTATCACATGGATAAGTCCCATTGGTGATTTGCGGGATTTGGACCCGGGACCTCAGGCTTAGAAGCCCCGCGCTCTTCTACTAGGCCAGCTATGGTCTAGCTGGAGCTCGCTGTTCTGAATAGTAACCTTGACATAGCGTACCGTAAATGCAGCTCACCAATTCGTGGGAGGTTTTGATTACTGAGAACTATAGCCTACTAATCTTCCATCTTTGTACCTGTGGTTGGAAAATATAAATTCAGTAGCATATCAGCTGCGTAATTTGATTGGTCACAGACTACTGCGTCGTAGCATTATCTCTTCGTTAAATTTATTGGTGATTGGCAAGATTCAATCCCCTAACTCTAACTACTTAAAAACACGCTTAACTATTTGTATCTGGTACTGTTTATGTACTTCAACCGAATATTACATATTTTCAAGTTAAGTTTCACAAAATGTAATTAGTTGACCAAAGGAGATTCTGTTCAAAGTCCTAATTTGATTGCATCTGGATACCACTTTGCTTTAATTGCAACATTGTAACCGACCCGGCCCGTACAAGACTCTAGCTGACTTTAATTAACTTTCGTGCAATCAACTTTCAATTTTAAATACTTTGTCACACGAATTCCACCTTTGATGAGTATTCTCTTCAAATTTTACAAGCGCTTAATGCCACTGATGGATCTAACATATGGATTTCAAAAGATAACACTTAATACTGTAGCCGGAGTGTACCTAATTAATTATACTCATTAAACATATTAATGTTTGAGTACAGTCAGTAATCAAACATTGGTTGGGTGTTATCGTCAAAAGTATTCTCTTAAAATATACTTATATTTATACACTCAAAATATTAGAATATAGGTACGCATTTAAAATTTTGTATCGCAATTTTATAGAAGAATAAAACAATAATTAAAAAGTAACTGTTATAGTGAGTTGAAACTTACCTTTTTTGCATGTAAAACTTCCCAATTGCTTAACGAAACCTGCCAAAGTAGCGCCCATGGTAATACTACAAAGATAATTTATAGGAAACACAAGCTTCTTTACATCGTTGCTTACTCATGACAACATTCTCGTCTTGAATGAAACATGTTTTTGATAACGGAAACTAATAAATTATTATACACGGCCACTAACTTATCTGTTACTTATTGTGATAACACGTTTTAATAGAATGTGTTGAAGAAATCTAATATATACATCTGAAATATTTTACCAATCGATTTCCTTAATACTGTTTACACCTATTGACAAAGTGATATTCTAAAAAATATTACCAAGATTTTGGCATTTTTCAAACGTTTAATCTACGTTGATTTTTTTTTGCATGCCTAAACTTGCTTTCAGACAATTTAAAAGTGAAAATATCATGTTTGAACACATCAAGAAGTCAGTAACCTCTTCCTTATGATTTTATAAGTAGAAATACATTACTGTAAATTAACTGGAAATGTATAAGATATTCTGAAAATCCGATATATCAGAGAAACCCTTTAAAATGAAGGCATTTTTGTGTATTTATCATATCTTCATATAGGAACACATTTTAAATATAATGCGAGAAAAACTATAAATAATAAATCGGTTCTTTCTTATATTAGCATTTATTTAAAATATTTTACTTGTAACAAAATTTAAACAATAAATTATTTTTGTAATTACTATACCGGTTCTAAGTATGTTAAAAATACAGAAGATTCATACAAAAATATCCAATGTCTGGTTTGGAGTTTGATATCGTTTGATTTTTCAGTCACTCATCGTCACATTTACCGGGTAGATTAATATATCCCAATTAGAAATAAAAAACTAAATTTTAAATATAGTTTATTTTATTGTTGAATTAGTTCACTTATAGTATATATACATGTATGCAATTTGTATTATTCATATTTATATGCAATGAAGGTATTTTTAGGCATTTCACAAGCTACAACATATTAACGTTTAACATCAATACAATATATTCCATAGCTCGTAAAAAGTAATAAAGAAATTCATAACAGATTTAATAGTCCATTTTATAAGTTATTCAACCGATATTTAATTTGGAGTCACTGTCACTGTCCGATGAGCCTCTAGGTATTGGCTCACCATCGAAGCCGCACATCATGTATTGTTGGGTTTTTTCGTCGTACCATTTATCTCCTTGGTTAAAGTATTCACCATCAACGTAACACCCACCTGTAAGTACGACCGTAACATTAATAACTATCGTATGAAAGAATGTTTATTAAGTTAACTAGCTGTAAACCACTGGTTTCATCCCGTTTGACTTCATAAGTATTATAGAAACTATTGATTGGTAAGCTGAAATAAATAAAACGTAATACAGTAATACAAACAGATAATTACACCTGAGTTTAATAAGGTGATAAATTAAAAGAATAACAAATGAATAAGTACAGCTGAGGTATTTAAGGTGTATGGAAAGTTCTCTTTAGAAAGGAATTACGACCTTAAAGGGCAATTTATGTAAGAATGGATAGTTTTGCGCAAGGTTTTTCGTCATGACGAAAATTTTAAGTATATGTTTTATGGGGGTGCGACTTGTAGTTTTCTCAAACGTTCATGGGTACTTTGGGAGTTATATATGTATGAAGTATAAGTTGGGTGGATTTTGTTCAAATATATTTTTTAAATATATTACAACAGCTTGGCCTCGCCTAGTATTGATGCGCAAAAGTAACAAATTAAAATTTGTTCACCTTTTTTAAGAAACAAATTTAGATAAATTTATCAAAATTTCGTTCTAAGGCGGTTTGTGGCAGGCACTTTAGTGAGGGTTTAGTTGAATAGTACACAATCTTCACTACTGCTAAAAATTGATAGATATCTATTTTATGTAAATATCGTCGCTGCAGCAAACCTGCAAACGAATCAAATTTCCATTAATTTCGGCTGATTAGATTTTTACTGAAGTGTGTTCTTAAGCTTTTTAGATTTACTTCATATTTAAATAACATCATATTTAATGCGTAACTTACCAAGGTTTTCTGTTACGAGGAACGAAGTGTTTTTGAAAAATGTAACAGTATAGTAGGCCCAATATACAAATCTATATATATAAAAGAGGAAGTATGTATGTATGTACCCTATGGACTCTGAAACCACTCAACAGATTGCAATGACATTTTCAGCCATAATTAAGAATTATTTAAGGACTAGGCGAAACCCGTCGAAATCGACGGTTAGGGGCCTCCTCGTTATTTAATATAATTATATGGTCGTGTGGCTTCATTGGCCATTTCAATATGAAAAATCATAAGGTGAACATGGGAAACTCCAGAGCCACTGGGGCGGAGCCCGAGAGTCCGATCAGAATAAAAACTACTTAGTTTTCCTATTTCATGCCTAAAGAATCGGTGTACCAAATTTCAGCCTCCTAGGTAAATGGGAAGTGGGAGAATTAGTGATGAGTGAGTGAGTGAGTGAGTGAGTCAGTCAGTGAGGGCTTTGCCTTTTATATATTTAGATAGATGGTTTGTGTGAAGTTTGGTGCAGATCCGTCAAAAGCGTTTGCCCCAGTAGCTCTGGAGTGTCCCATGTTAACCTTATGAGTAGGCTACTTATATTTAAATAGAATTAAAGAATCTTAACAGCTTTTTCAACAAAAAATTTGATTCTGTGATGATCAATAGCATTAAAAGGTTACAAGATGTACCAACAGGGTGCAGCACTATTAATTGTCTAAATTTATGACAACAGTGGCTAATTTCAACCAAGCAGCTGTGATACAAAATTAGAACTGTCAAAGTAGGATTGTTTACAGTTATGTAGATTATGTTTTTAATTTAATAAATAATTTTTTATAGTGTATGAGTAAAGGGTTTTATTTTTTAAGTGCGTAATTCATAAACTTATTGACTTTCTTTTTTCCAAAATGTTTATAAAAACCTATGGTTTATTTCCCAAAAAATAATGTCTGGGAAACGAAAGTACCTAGCCAGTTAAATGTTTAGGGTAATACTTTTAGTAGATTCCTAAAAGTGTATCTACACACATCAGATCTATGGAATAATAATCATTCTCTTAAGCGTTCTCTTCCCGTTGCGAAGTACGGGTATGGTGGCTAAAAGTACAGTATTAAGTTTAAGTAGTATATTCATAAACATGAAAACTACAGCAGTTTACTTAAAAGAAAAACAGTATCATGCGATATACTGTATAAATGTATAATTTTTAGATTAATATTTTAACCATTGATATAAAAATTTTTACTAACGTTAAGTTAATTAAGTTAAGTGTAAATAAGTTTAATTAAAAAGCTAATATTAAAATTTATGGTTCAATATAAAAAGTAATTTGTTTTGTCAAGCTCACTCGATGGTGTTAATGGAAGTGGGGCATATTTATGTTTGCAGGGCCAAGATTTGATAGAAAACCAATTTAAAAATTTTAAAAAAATTTAAAATTACTCATCATGGCGTTTTGTATTTTAAAGAGTATGCATACGTTTCTGTTTTATACGGATACTATAACCTTAAATTGTTAACAAGTCTATAAATACCTGGAATAACTGGAATCACGCCTGGAAACGTAATTTTTAATCTTTCTTAGCATAAAAGCAATAATTTACTCTTAACGCCTTGTTGAGTATATACACGTAACATTTCCAATAAGACTAAAGCTTATAGCCAACAATGAAATAATATATCAGCTGTGATGAATCGATACCAAAGAAACCAGTGATTAAGTGAAGAAAACAAGGATACCAAATTATAAGCAAGTTTTGTACGTAAACAGCGTCTCTCAATTTTGTAATTTGCACTGCGTATAAAAACCCGGGTATTTTACGTTATATATGTGCGCCTCTATTCAGTTCATCTATCATGTTTAAATTACATTTTTAACTTTTTGTACTATAGGTTGTCTTGCAACACAATTTTTATCAAGTTTCCAGAGTTAGATACCAAAATGCAGTTTCGAAAATTATATTAAAGTCATTTATTACAAGATCAATTGTGTTATGTACCTGAGCCAAAGAAATACCTCCATAGAGCTTTAAATGGGGTCAATATAATATTACCCATTTAAAACATACTGAAAAAATAAACACTTAATGAAATGAATACAACAGAGAAGATGCTAGGTAGTATATCTCAAACGGAAGCAAAACATGAAATGTTATGAAATACGTTATCAATTTAATAGAATGTCTGATAAGACGGTTGGATTTTTGATCAGAACAATTTTAAAACGAATCTTATTACAGTAGAGGTTTTTTATTATGCTATCCCGCCGCAACAAACCTGCAGACTGGGCGAATTTCATTCCTGATTGGATTTTTACTTAAGTGTTTCCTTAAACATGTCATATTTATTTCCTTGTTCAAAGGAGGCAATAATTTGTGTTTTTAAAGTAAATTGTTAATAGCTTAAGGTAAAATAAACAAATCTTTGGCACAATAGAATATTTTGTATTATAGACGACCAGTTCCCAGCGTTTACTAGTCCAGTCGTGTATACTAGTGGAATAGTTTTAAGTTTGATATCCCCCGGCTTCAGGCCTGGATTAACCCTGGAATTCTAAATTCATCGGTTGGATACTAGAGGCAATGCGAATTCTCGGAAAATATGCTCGGAAAGTTTACCTGCAAGGGGTTCTTTTCGTCATTCACAGGTTTTGAGTAGTAGGCCTACTTATACTATAGAGGTGAAAGTATATAACAGAAGGACTTTTGATAAGACTAGACTTACTATGTTAAAGCTCTTGTCAGTTTTGGAATCGAAATGTACTTACTGTGGAGTGCACTAATATAAATTACTGATTTCCGACGAAAAAGCCAAACTTTTAACCATGTCAATCTAATAGTACGACCCTTTGTAAACTAAGGAATAGACTTACCAACTAGAAGATTTCTGATGAATTCATTGATAAATCTGATGCTTGTTTTTCATGTCTAGTTCATGTTGGGGACGCAATGCCGCGTGCCGAGTGCAACCAGCGCCGAGTGCAACTAGCGCCGAGTGCAACCCGCGCTGTGGCCAAAGCCGTGCATCCAGCGCCGTTTTGTTTGATAATTCTAATAATGCAAAAGTGACGTGGGGCATATTAATTTTACTTGACTGCGTTGCATTTAAAAAGTGGCATTTAATAAATTGCTATTAACTTTTGTTGGTTAGTCTATGCTATTACAATGTAGTTCACTACTACACTTTCCAAAATAAACGGTATAAATAATCTGACACATACTTTCTTCCATTAGCTTGTCAACAAACTTTATCATGGGTAACTATGATATTTAATATGTAAAATTACAAAAGTTGCATTACTTTTGAACCGTAATTTTTACAGGAATGGGTTTCCTTTATTTTGTTTAGAATTTATAAGGATCATAACAGACAAACTTTAATCAGAACAGGTTTTTTTAAATACGATTTTATTTTATTTATGATTTGTTTACGGGTAAATAAGTCACTATAACCATTTGAAGAATTTTGTTTAGAATATAAAGGACTGTTCGGACTATTTTCGACCAATCTTGATTTATCCATTACTTCTTGGATTTTTATGGAAAATTCTTAATTAAAAACCGAATTCAAGAAAATGAACAACATGAACAAAATGAAACAACTGGATATATCATGGATTAGTACCTACATACAAAATATCATCAAAATCGGAATACAGGAGTCGTCTGTAGCTCAGGCTACACAGATACGGACACATATCTATTCGAAAACCACTTTATTGTGTTTTTGTGCGGCAAAACGGATATATCCACTCAAAAACGTCAAACTCGAAAATCTTGACGAACAAATACTTTCTCCATATACTATGTATACGGGGAGAAAGTATAAAATTAACGGAACAAGTATTATAACACCGCATGTGGTATTGAGTTAGTATGGGTATATTTTTGTAAATTAGAATTAACATAACCAACGAAAATTTGTACATATCAAATTACTACTTCGATTCTAAAGGAAGCACTTAGTTTAATGTGGAGTTAGAATATATCCACACTAGTAAACCACATGTTACTGTAATATAATTCACGTTTCATTTCAATCGGACGGGACAGGACGCCATGTTTTAATGTAAACACAACTGTCGGCTTACACATCAAACATAGAATTCTTTAATTTTAACTTAGTTAAACTTGTGGTTTTTAAATGTAGTATACATACTTGAGAAAATATTAACTGAATTTTCAATGGTGGCCCGTGTATTATTGAATAATTGGTTTGAATGAAATCTACAATATGTTTAAGTCACGATTGATCTGTAGATGAGTAATTTTCCAATCCGGGACTTCCAAAAGAATGACTGATGAACATTTGAAAACATCGGTTGGATACATACACAACTTCACGATCAACGTTTAATATCACAGTTTCAGTTTGAAATTGATTCGTTGAAATAAACTGTTCAATCATTACACATGATGTTGTAATTGATGTAAATTGGTTTTGTGAATATTTTCATCCAATTGGTTGATTAGTAAAGTTCTTGAATTCAAAATTTATTCTATGATTAGATTTGCAAGAAACATGTTTCTTGAATCAAATTAAGATGTACAAATTTTTATTGCTTTCCAAAACTAAAATTTAGACAATAGTGCATGACGTTTAAAAACGAGTAGTTTGTGGAAATATTTGCAGTTTCAAAACGAATATTTTAGAGTGTTTCTTTTTCATGCAGTATAATATGGTGCCTGGTACGAATTTTGCGCTTAATTCAATTATTATAATTACACAAACATGTACGTCAATACTACAACATATGGTGGAGTTATTTTCATATACAGCAAGGTCACCATTTCAGTCGTGTTTTAAAACCTGTAGCAGTCATACATAGTTATACTGAGCGTCCAACCCAACCATCTTGCAACAGAGGTAACGCTAGACGTTAAGATGTTAGTTTTGCCGTTGTTGACATTCTTTACGTCTCTTCAAGTGGTGACTTCACAACCTCTATCCTCTTCTGTCGCGCAAAACTTTGCCAACAACCTAAAAAATAAATATTCGATATCGTGTAATCGATCAAAGGATTGTGGACGTACTAAACATTGGACATTGACATTTGAGGGCGCTGAAAATCCTGAACGAATCGAAGAACAGGTACAAACCAATATTGATAGATATTCGATTGAATTCAAAAAAGTTCTTGTACATGTTAAGTCATATTTTATTATCGGCAGGAGTAAAAGCGATTTGGAAGCATTGTTTAATGTGGAAATTGAGTTGAGAATTGTAAGAGTCAATGACCGTAGTTGTACCATAGAGTTTAACGTTCTTGGGGGGGCGTGGGACTTTCGCTTTTATTTCAGAAGAGGCGATACTCCACTGATCACGGATGACAAATTGATAACTGATCTCAACAATATTGCTTTCTCAAAAGCATATAAGGACAAGTTTAATCAATGGTTACAAGAAGCAAAAAATAAGACACCATGCGAATGAACGGTTGAAAATCTTTGTGAGCTGTAACATTAAACCACTTCATAGAAAAACGCTTGTTTAATATACCACCTTAACCATGACCGGATTAAAAATAGAGCTTGTGCAAATATATATATATATATATATATTCATTATAATAGCATAATGTTCAAACATTTCAGCTTATTTTACAAATCTTTTTCACTTTTTGAGAATTAACATCGAGAGTGTCAAATTTTCCCTCGATGATTAAAAAATTATCTAAAATCACTAGAATTGTTCAATGTAGTCCTTAAAAATTAGCCTCGCAGCTGGAATTTGTTCTTTATAAATACTTCGGTTGGAGATTAAATACATGTGTGGCTATTTCAGGTTTTCTGTACATTCCTGAGGAAGATTTATAAAAATGATATTTTTTTTTTATTTTCTTGACCATTTCAAATGTGTCAGTAGATCTGGTGTTTCTGTATTGAATGATTTGATTCTCAACGTGCAAAATAAGAGCTCACACTTTACAGACGTTACACACAGTACACACCCATCCACTACATGATTCCTAATTTAATGCAGTACTTTAAAATATTATATATTACTAGTAGACGTTAGTACATGTGCTTCGCATCGAAAAGAGAATGTGGAAGTGAAAGTGAGGTTCTCCAAATCTGCTGTATGTGGGTATGTAGTTACTCATCCCTAGTTTATTTTAGACACAACACTATATTTTACCGCCAAATTTTATATTACCTTTAAGAGTCCTTGGAGCCTAGACGTTCTAACTCATAAAACAATTAAAGAGCTGCAAAGAAAATTTCTAATCTCACAATATACTAGATATTTAAATCATAATCACTTTGGTGTTGAAAAAATAATTTTAGACGGTAAATAACTCTTCAGCGGCTTTTTGAAATTCACGAAATTAACATTGCTCTTATGGTGGGTAATTCCAAGATGGCCGTTAGCTTCCATGGACTTCCTTGGAGAACAATTCAAAACTACAAAGAACATTCCTAATCTCACACAATTGTATACCAGACTAGCTATTTATTATAATGACTTTGGAGGCCGTTAGCCTCCAAGGACTCTTAAACCTTATAAAGCCATATGTAGATTTCAGTCGTCGTGATTAACTTAAGCCAGATAACTGGATGGCCTACCTTCTTTTGCAAAAGAAGCCAGGACCACTAGATCACTGTTTTTTTTTGTTTTTGTGCCAAATTAAAAAAATATACTTTTCGTTACCCGCTGTGCCTTCAATTGAAGCGTTTCGTATGGAAGAGAGAGGCTATCATCCTAGAGGTTCTTCGTGGTCAGAAGGAGATGTGTAGCCCTCGTTTGTTGTCGAGTCCTTAATCTCCTGACAAATTAAATAGTCGCAGCAGTCTGGAAACCTCAAGTTGGGACTTTTAAAGTAGATTGTGCAGCCCTTCTGCTTCCGAATAATTGGGCATCTGCAATGAGAAATAAATTACATATAACGAAATAAATAGGCATCTAATAGGAATACTTAGGTGTCTATCTGAGGTGTGTATTCGTGGTTGCCATTCATTATGATTGCCGGGTTGTCCTAGCGAAAGAAATAAGTAGCTTTGGTTTGAAATTGTTCCCAGCTATAATTAGGCTTTTTAATAATTAATTAGTAGTTTGCGTGAGAAACAACTGGCCTTATTCGGTCAAGAGCATCACACATGCATTTAGCGAGAATAACGCGTATATCCCAGATTTTCTAAAGAAATACAGTAAAAATACTATTGATATGATTACCTCTATTGAATGATAATGTCAGTAATACACTTTACTCACTGTACCTTGTCCTTAACATTAATTTGATTATAATATTCAATATGAATTTACAATTGCTGTAGTTTTCTAAAGCCTTGTATTTGCATACCTTGATACTACCTACACTAATTAGTATTTAAGTCTATTTACAAGTTATCTGAATTCGAAATTGGCCATTCTAATTTGTAATCGATGTCAATAGTCTTACGAAACTCTGAATATTCTCTTGTGAATAAAGAAAATAGGTGAGCTCAATATTAAAAGATTTCGTATGACTTGCAAACAAATCATGTTTCATTGTCAATCTTTTAGAGACATTATAGCTTAAAGGTAGGCTCTTCTCAAAACAAATCAACAACATGTGTGGACACAACTTCACAATGTTATCAAACAATATTTTTTTATTTTTCACTTTCACATCCTAGGACGCTAAGTTCTAGTCCGGAAATGTTTCAACACATTCAGGCTATTCCTAGAGGGTGGTAGCACTACCACATACACAAAATACATTTGCGATTGGCGGGATTTGAACCCGGGACCTTGGGCACCGAAGCCCCGCGCTCTACCAGTAGGCCAGCTTACTCCCAAAATATCCAGTATAAATACACACAATTACAATGAGAAACGTTACTTACGCCTCACCACGATTACACTAACTTATTAACTTGCAACGAGATTAATACTTCTCTTAAGTTTCAGTTATTAAAATCTGACCTGTCAATGAGTATCTTCCCTCCTTTCAGACATGTCTTTCTGGTACAGGAAAGGTGGTCGTACCATATAGCCCCGACTCTGTGGTGCTGTGTGCCCTCCTGACACATTTCTGTAACACGTTGGATCTACAAGTGACAGCGTTAGTGTTAATGTCTACAATAGTGGAATTTTGTATGAAATCGTTACAAATGCTTGGGAACGTGGTAAAACACCCAGAATCTCTGTGGATGTACCGGGGATTGAACCCAGGGCCGGGGATAGTAGCTAGTACTAGCTACTATCCCCGGCCCTGATTGAACCTGTGCATCTCGCGTCAAAGTCTGAGACGCTGTCTTCCTCTTTGCAGATTCTTACCTCTTAATTATTTATTTTGTACTTATAGTACGTTAGTGCCGTTAGTGGATATTGGTAGGATGTCATGAGATCAATATATTGCAATGCAATTAAAAATAATTGTTGTACGGCCCATATAATACCAGTAAAGCAGTTATTTTATTCATTATAATGTGGACATATTTTTCCATATCCTACCAATTTATAGAGTTTTTTTTTTTATTTGTGTCAGTACTTTCGAATCTTGACGTATGTAAATGAATAAAGTTGGAAAGAGGGAGTACAATTCTTAACTTCTACAATTACGGTATTAGTAATATTTTACAATAATGGATTAAATCCAACATACCTCTTTCCCATATCTTTGATGGCCATTTCAAAATGTTTCCCATAACTTCATTTAAAATAATAAATATTTGGTTGCATCTCCACTAAAATAAATGTGTAACAAACGGTTATAGAATTTTTTTAAGTGTTCATATACTGTCAACTTTGTCATAATTGCATCTTTGAACAGTCTTACACTATTTGCTCGTCGGTTTTGTTTGCAGTGAACTACTTTGAAGTTTTCTATTTATTATCATATCTTATCCTACCATAGGTTAATGATACAAAAAAACTATTTATGTTGTAGGTCTTTTAGAGTAAACACGGGAGTCTGTATCTACGGATGTACTCGATGTAACATGTTTGGGTGTTTTCCCCACAACTCCTCTAGCTAAAGCTAAAGAAGTTTATACGTTCAATAGAATAAATAGGATGTTCTTTGACAAATGATATATAAACAGACTGTGTCATAAAAAGAATAATTCTCCATTTCCACTTGCTTAAAACTCTGATCCTGGGACTAACTAACATGATAAAAGTACAATGAGGCAAAAAAGAAAATCGCAAAGTAAAAATTAACGCTGTATAACATTCTAGTTGAGCTATTTAAGAGTGTATGTGTTACAAAGTCTTACATGCGCCAACAAATATCGTATACAAACAGTTGGTTAACTATTCAGGAGTATTGGCATTGCTTTTGATGCGCCACAAAATATCCTACTATTTTTGTTAAATTTTTGTTGTGTGTGTTGTTAGCTTGACAACACACTTTGATTGGTGTATGACAATTATTTGTATTACTTTAACGATTTAGTCGTAAAATGCTTTCCCACCACTGCATGGAAATTACCACATTGACACACCTGTAAAAATACGCAAAATATCCCATTTCCGCTCTAGAGCGGGAATTACTATTCCCGCATGCTAAATCAGCTGATTTTACTGTTGGCGTTTCAATGCCAACCACATCCGTGGAGTCGCCTAGCATAATATAAAAAGCCGGTAAGCAAATCATATAATCTAAAAAAATAAACATAAGCTAAACGAAATTTTATTTACAAATAAAAAACTGTGAGTTATTATAAGCATATAAGTTTGGTAGTGTAGTAGGGAAGATCAAGTGTGTAGGCCGAAGATGAGCACAAACAAAATAAGACAGGTATTTGGAGTCCAATTAAATATAATACTTAAATAGAATTGACCACGAATATAAGAACGGAAACGGTATGTATTATAAACCTAAGCAAATTATGCCACTGGACCGAAAGCATAATCTATCTATACTATTATAAAGAAGAGGTGGTGTCTGTGTGTGTGTGTGTGTTTGTAAGAGCTAATCTCAAAAACTACTGAACCGACTGGGCTCAAATTGTACACAAATGAAGCTACAGCTCCGAGGATACATATAGAACTATTCCTGCTTCGATATTGACCTCGGGCTCTGCCCCGTGGGCTTTCAAAAATCTGAGGTGAGAGATTTAAAAGTAAATATTGATTTATGGTATCCTTGGTAACAAAGAACAAACCTACAAAGTTTAAAAATGTAAACAAGCTGAACTAACTGTCAAATGAATTTTGATTTCACAATTCCACACAGCTGGTTCAAACATATTAAATACTGCACGAATATTAGAACAGAGAGGGTAAGGATTATAAATTTAAATTAATGATGTCACTAGCCCAAATGTAAACATTATTTAACATTATGGAGATGTCAAACCATATGTTAATGTAATTTCATTAGCATAGGATTCTTTCAGTTACTTCATTTGTTTATGTTTATGATCTATTATACTGAGTCTGTTCTAATATTTGTGAAATGCTGTACCTAATAATATTTTACAGGGAATAATTCATTGTAAAATAAATCATTAATCGATATAGGAAATAATTAAGATTCTATAATCATTGCCGTATCAACCTAGGCCCATATCCTGAGTTTTATGAGGTTTATTTTTTTCTTTTTGTGTGTAAACAGTAATATAATCCCCCTGCCACAGCAAACCTATAGACCAGCACTATTATGTTTTTTGCATTTATGACAACAGCTAATTTGTATCAACTAGCTACAAAAAGTTGTGGTACACAATGAGAACTTTACTTTTTTCCATGGTTTAGGTGCAATTGTAGAACATTAGGGCTATGGTAGATGTGTGCTACACTATAGGATACCGTATTAATCAAAAGACCAAATTTTCTTAAACTGTGTCCTCTCCCATAACTGCAACAAGCATTTTATACTTATCTGCCAACCCCGTACGGAGGACGGGTACTCCGCTAGTGTTTTATAAATATTTAAATTGAACAACGAACTTTTATATAAAATCTAAAACAGCTGTTACGGCTATAGATATACATCCGGGGCAGTGAGGCAATTTTTTTTATACTTATGATCGTAACCTTTCTGTTCTTATACACGTAGAAATAAGTATACTCACTAAAAGAATAATACTTGATTCGCCCTGAACTACTTAATCAGTATCAACTATTAATACATGTCCTAAAATTATCTGGCAACGATATTAGTGTTGTTTCTAGGAAAATGCTAAGCTCGCATCGATTTCCTGTTATGAGGTTCCGATGCTAGCCAAGAAGCTACAATAACTTGTATGATAATCTTTTTTAGTATTTCCTTTTCTTCAGCCTCTTCCTCCTCTTTTACAATCTTCTCGTTTTCCACCATCCGCTTCATTGCAAATTCCAAGTTAGTGACCAAATCTTGGTAGTCGTCTCTCTTTGAACAGAAGAAAGGTTAGTCAAGCATTAAAGTCAATTCGTATACGTAACAAATATTTGAAAACTAATGAAACTAATACTCTGCATTCACAAACTCCTCATAATTTCATATTCTGTATTCATAGAATGTTTAAGTAGGATTAATTGTAATACACATTTACAACAATTTTCTGTTACCCTTAATTCGTGTTGATTTAATTCTAATAGTGAAGCAATGGAATGAATTAATTTCTCTTTACTCTTTTTACATGATGTTTATAACCAATACCTTTTAAATACGCAAAAAAACTAAATTAACCGAGCTAGACATACACAAGTATGTAGGAAACATTTATCCGTAATAAGTAGACCTATAGTCGGGGTCAACTGTTGCAATTATCGCTTCATTTTTCTTTAATTTCAAGGTTAAAGTAATTGTTATCGGTATACCTATTTTTAGTGATTGGTAAGCAAGCAGTTGGCAGACCCGCATGGTGAATCTCAGATCTGGAGCTTTCACGGAAGTCAATTTAACGTCTCCGTGTTACATTTTAAGGGGTTCGTTCAAAACTCATTTTAAAGGGTGTTTTCTACATTTTAATTTCTAATTTTTGATGACACTTCTGTGTTTTTAACTCACAACGATCTATTTAAGAATAATTGAGCTTTAAGAGTCCTTGGAGGCTAGCGGCCATCTTGGACAATTTCATACAACTGCTGAAGATTTATTAATCATCCAAAAATATTTTTTACACCAAAGTGATTATAATTTAATATCTAGGAAACTGTGAGATAAAAAAATCTTAGGTAGGTTTGAATGATTTTTAAGGTAGTCCATTTAAGCTAACGGCCATCTTGGATTTTCCGCCATGAGAGCTACGGTAATTTCGTTACTTTCAATCAGCTGCTGAAGAGTTTTTTACCCACTAAAATTTTCTTCAAATCCCAAAGTGATTGTATTTTTAATATCTAGTGTGATAAATAATTAAAGTTTTCTTTGTAGTTTGTTAATTTTTTTATGAGATAGAACGTCTGGACTCCAAGGACTCTTATTTGAGTTTGATTTCTGTACCACTTCATCAGACAGCTGGTACTTTGATGGGCACTCGAGACGTGGACAACAGTCAGGGAATTTCCTGGTCAGGTCCTCTGGGATGATGCGACATCTCTCAGGCACCTCCTTGGGCATTACGTCGCACCTGGAGTAGAGCACATTGGCCTGTGAAATATGTTTAAATGAAACAGTAAATGGAAATAAAGAATTTCGTATGTTTTGGGTCACAAATCAATCCACGGGCACTAAATTGGTGTTCTAAAACACTTAACTATAATGTTTAAGTATTTTATAAAAAAAAAAAAAAAAAAAAAAAAAAAAAACTGATATTAATATCCTATCAAAATACAGCGTAGGCCCACATGTAAACTTCAGAATTGTCACTAACCAAAAAGTTAATGTAAGCAAACACTTTTAAGCCTGCACTTTATAACGCTTTTAACATCTCACTAAGAAACTATGTTTATAAATGAATTGTATTAATGACCACGGAAGTCAATAGCAACAAAAACTATAGCACCAGCATATTTATTTATTTTTTCATCCAACGGTAAATACCAATACATAAACTGTAACAAGTTGTTGACAGAAGAGTTTAACAACAATAAAAAATCTAAGCATAACAAAATAATAAATAATATTTAGCAGCTGAGACAACAATAATTAAACTCTATAATGATATAACAAGTTCAGGTAATATCTTAAATAACGTAAAATCATTGTTAGAGACTAGATCAGCTGGTCAGCGAAAGAAAATATCAATAAAAATGCAAAGCATCTCATATAAATAGTAGGCCTAACTAACCTTAAAATAAAATATAAAAGTTAAATTTGCATAAAAGTGAGACTGAAGTCCCGCGCTCTAACCACTAGACCTGTTCGATCCTCGAAACAAGTAACAAAACACAAGTAGGACTCACTCATCTATCCAAGTCTCGCCATCCTCCATGCAGGTCTTCAAATGACAGCTTCCTTTGTCCGTCCATTGCTCTCCTATCTCGTGTATCTCGTCTGGATCTAAGCCCGTGCAGTAATCTGAAATAATCGTTGCATGGTGTGCAAAAGGTCGTGCATTAATTGCGCCAAAGACTTCCTTAATTGCGCCAAGCCGAAGCCAGATAGGGGTGAGCAGGGGCAGAGGAAATGTCTTTGTTTCCGTGGTATCCTACTAACCTATCCTAATCTATCCTAACCTATCCTAACCTAAACTAACCTATCCCAACCTATCCTAAACTATTCTAACCTTACCTAACCTAAACTAACCTAACCTAACTAACCAACTTAACCTACTCAATTATGCAGTCAAAGAGGGCCGCCACTTGGCGCAGTTAATGAACGTATCGGGTGGCTCCCTGGTGTATAGATGGCGCAATCCAGGAACATCCGACTACCTGAAACCTGACTGTAGGTCAGTTGACACTGAGTGAAAACTTACATAGGTAATATTTTTTTTTTGCTCATAGTATTTTGATTGTGATCATTCTATTGTGATGTCTATATTTAGTTCGTACCTCAAAGCTATGTTTTGATCTGTTTGGATAATTTCCTTGGTCTCACAAGGGTCCACACGGAAGGTAAAATGTTAGAAAAATGTATATTAAACATGTACCAAACTGAAACCTTTAAAACTTTATCCTTCCGTTTTTTTTGTATTGGAGTCTTTTAAATTTACTTACAATAGATTTTGTCTAACGAGTAAATGAAGTAGTCTTAAGCAAGATATTTTACAAGTATTGCCAACAAAAATTCCGGTTAACTTGTATTTAATATTTTAATTACTTAATATACATCGAAACTATGTTTACCATGTTTAGGATTACTTGTATAACAACACCAACTAAATGATCTACATTATAAATTTACAGACTAAATTATATTACCTGTATCAACCTACTTCCGAACTTAAAACTTGACGGATAGGGGTTAAAAAATAAGGGTCTCTTTATCAATCTTTAGAAAGAATACAACTGCACTCCAAGATCCATACAAGTCATCACCAATAAAGTCGCTATAGACAAAATGGATTAATACATTTTACAATGAGTTCCCTAGTGCAGTTGGTATAAGTAGACCAACTGTATTTTAGATGTCAAATAATAATTTATTAATTTAATAGAGGCCAAATAATATTTTAGCCTCTCACTATCAATTTAAGGTGAAATTGGACATAAGGAATCATTGACATAAAATATACATACAATATGATTAAGATAACCACATGTTTTTATGTTGGCAGTGCGTTTTCTTTTTATAAATCCATACATCAAGGGGTATTGTAACTATACATTCACGGTTTTAATGTATATTAAACGATATTTTTACTTACTTGTTGGCACGGTTTGCCCCATAGCGTAGCTTTTTTTACATATATTGATGACTTCTAAAACGTGTAAAAGCACTTTTTGAGCGTGGCATTTTTAAGTAAGACAGTTAACTTATATAATGAACTTAGTCGTTGGCCAAACTAACTAAAGTAGAAAAGTAATAGGAAAGTTGTTATCGTTAGTTTATCAATATTTCAAACTTTAATGATTTTTACCAGTAATTTTGCCGGTTGGTTTTCTTAAAAAGATATATATCAGAAATAAAAAAGGAATATAAGGTCTTCATATCAGAAATATGGTGTAATTAATGCTGGAAGTTAAGCAACACTATAAAGGATTTAATTGCAGTATTTTAGTATAATCTTCTTCTACACAATAAGGTTATTATACCTAGGTAGGTAGGTTTATAGGTTATTGGTAGCTTAAGTTGAACCATGCAAGTAATGTTCCCTTTGGGTAGCAGCTCTTGAGGAAAACGCAAAAATGATGTTGCATTTATGATTAAGTTTTTTTTTCATTAGGTGTAAGAAAATAACTTAACCCTGAACCAATGGTGCTCGGCTATGCAGACACTCTGTTGACAATTCACAATCACTTAGTCTAAAAGCTATGTGTCTTTATTCACCCTTAAACAAAACACTTTAAAATTGTTTTTTTTTCTATTATCGTTGTTGATTTGTAATGTGTCGTTTGAACCTTAATGTTAACCAGGGAGTAAAATTTATTATTTTACTTGTTAGACTTCAATCTGTATTGTAGAAAAAATCATTATTATATCAGTAGAAACATTTATTTAGATTACTTACATGGAGCTGTACATTTTCTTTTACCAATCAATTTTCAACCAAGCTTCTTATAATTTACAAGGAAATAAAATAAAAACTCATACAAAACTAAATGTATTTACATTCGTACAACTATCGAATCTATCATTACGGATCTTAATATTACAGTGGACATCTTCCTAAAGAAACATAGATAACATAATTGATTATCACTGTACACCTAAGTCTATGAACACATTTTAGATTCGTGCAGTTGATATTTTCACAAAAAGTTAAATTACACGAATACTTCATCAACTAAGTCTCCGTTGGCCCGTCTTGCGCGTCGTCATCGTTTTCTTCTTCTTCCTCAATGTTCGCCACAAATCTGTCAGTGTCTCCAGACCCTGACATCTGTCCATCTGAGATCATTGCAAGAGGGTTCGAGTCTTGGGATTCGTCCACACTGTGAGTCAGAATATCCTGAACGTTGTAGAAGTTGTCACCTTGATACCCTATCGCATCTTCATTGTTATCTTCCAGCGTGTGGAAATTATCCTCGTTAAGATCTAGTGCTGGAATAACTTCTGGTTCGTTGTGAGATTCTGCGACTTCGTCGTCTACCTCTTCGTATATTTCTTCCGGAAGATGAGTCTGTAATGTATCCGTGTTCACTGTTTCATGTTGATACTCGTCATTTACTGTGTGGTCGACATTTTCTTCGATTCCTTTCGTAGGTTCGTCTGATTTTTCATCCATCAGGTTTTGAGACTCTTCATTTTCAGGCTTTATTTCGAAGTGTGCCAGAGTGTTTGTTTCTACATCTTGCTTGACGATTTCAGTGTACTTGATAAATTCTTGGTCATGAAGTTCGGCCTTCCCTTGATCTTCTGCAAACGGTTGAGTGACTTTAAGGGTGCTCATTATATTATCAAGGACTGGATTAATGTCTTTGTCTGGTTCTAAATGGAATTGGTTGGTTTGTTTGTGTAAATCTACATACTTGTAGTAATCCTCCATTCCTTCAGTGCAGTTTTCTTCACTACCCTCTTCAAGTTCCTTAGCAAACCGAGGGACATTGTTTATGTTTTCTAAGGCCTTTTCAAACTCCTTGTCAGGCCCGAGTACTTTGTAAAATTTTTCATCTTCCTCTTGTTTGTTTATACGGGGAAAGTTTTCAGCTCCTTCCCAGCAATCCAATTTTTCTTCGTTTTCTTTTAGTTCCTGACCGGCTCTACGAGCTGCCTCGAAGTTCTCGAGAGCCTGTCTAAGTGTTGCTTCTTGGTCTTCTAAATGATCCATTTTTGCCTCTGTTGTTGAATCCCCTATATCCTTATAGTTACTGACGTCAATGGTTGCTGGTGAACAGTTTGTGGCCTTATCGGTTTGGTCATTACTTTCCATTGAGTAAGTGTGATTATCATTCAAAACGTTATCAGTACTTTCAAAATCATGTGCTTCATGTGTTTGAGGAGTCATTGGGGTTTTATTTTCGTTGGTCGTTGACTTTTCTCCATAGCATTCATTATTCTTATCGCTGAACAACACTTCTCTTTCAGTTTTGTCCATACGTTTTTCATTTTCGTTGTCCTTCATGTCCTCTCTGCTACCCTGAATTTTCATAGTCCTCGCAACCTCTGAACTCGTATCGTTTTCCTTGTAATGATCTAAATTGTTTGACGTGTTGTCTAATTCATTATTAGTTATTGTAATAGTGTCTTTAATGGTGTCCTTAGAATTTTGAGTTGGATTTGAAAATTTGTATTCCTTGCTTTCCAAACTCTGTGATTCCTGTTTATTTGTGTTTTCTGCTCCAGATTTCTTTATTATATTTTCCTCAACAGTCTTGTCGGCTTTATTATGAGTCACATTCTTGCTGATCTCTCCTTCAGTTAGATTGTGATTGGTAGTTGCGTCTATGTTTGGGCTATTTGTAACAGATTGGAAAATATCCTGGCCTTTAATACTGAGATCTTCAATGCCGGCTGTTGCATTTCTTATTTTTGCAGGTTCCTCATTTTTACAGTCTTGTGTCATATTGTCCTGACCCTGAATTCCACCTGTATTACCATCAACCTTCATGTCAGAGGTTTTCAGTTCA